GTGTCCATCATGGTGTTTCCGAGGGAGAGCGAGGCATCTGCCATCGCGCATCTGAAGAAGTCGATGCTCGGGGCGAGGTTGACCACCGTGGCCGGCGTGAAAGCAGACGGACTTAAAGGCCGGTGATAGGTTTGCCGTCGTCGCACCGTCTCTCAACTTGGTGGAGAGGCGAAAGGAGAGCGGTGGCAGCATGAAGACCTCGACGCCTACTGCTGTGACCACGACCAGGCCATTGTGTTTGTAATAAAGATACTAATTGTATACATATCCCCCAGCTTCAAAAACATTAGATAAATATCCAACTTATTATTGAAAAATCTTGATTCAAGATAAATGGAACCTTTCCTATATACAATGAGCTTATTATTTGAAGGTTGCATTGATTGTGCTATTATTGCTGAAATAAGAGGCTTATGTGAATTTGTCGATCTTTGTGTACCTTGTAATAGTGATTGTCAATCTATGTGTACCTTGTAATATTGACTGTCAACTTTTGTGTACCTTGTAATAGTGACACATGGATGCGTAAAGTTGAGTGGTACTCCCTCCGTAAAGAAATATAAGAGCGTTTAGATTCACTACTTCAGTGATCGAAACACTCTTATATTTCTTCTTTACAGAGAGAGTACTAATACTACTTAAAAATGGATAATATATATCCAGTTATGAGTGCTTGCTCTTATATTTCTTCTTTCCAGAGAGAGTACTAATACTACTTAAAAATGGATGATATATATCCAGTTATGAGTTCTTGGGTGGTGGTAGCGATCGATTTGGTTAGTTAAGGACATACGAAGATTGCCCAGAAGGAAAAAAAGTGAAGAGAATTTATATTCATCGTTGCATGATGAAATCTAAGTGTAACCATGCTTAACCCATATTTCTAAATTAGAAGAATAGTTTGATCAACGTGTTGATATTTTTATTATTCCGTGGCAATGCATGGGAATTCGGCTTTTGCCCATAGCAACGCACGGGCCTTCTACTAGTCATGTTAAAAACTGAGTATGATGCAAAAAAAACTGTTCTTTTTGCAGTTTCTCATATGAAAAATAACATGAACATTAACAACAAGAGCATAACTAGGGTTTCAAGGCAGAGATGGCTGGAGGAGAATTTGAATTGTTTTTCTTTTGAGCTTTTTATATGAAATTTTTGGAAAGTCGGTAATGGTGGATTGTCATAATTCTGTTCTTTCAGCCAGATAAAAGAAAAGAATGATGTTCGTTTGGCCAAGATAACTGAACAGTGGTTTACATGAAGCAACAGATGTCAGCTGAAATGAACAGATGTTTAAGCCTGAGCTGTTTATTTGTTCTTGTCCAAAAGGACAATCCCGACCTTGCTGATTGTTTTCCACACTAAGGAGATTTCGCCCCGATTTCATTTCATTGAAATGAAACCGATGAAACAGCCGTCAGACCACAAGAATGCAAGTACCAATCCAGAACAACAAAGAAATAGGCCACCCAGGCAAGCGCCCATAACATGACACTCGCCAGCTCAAAACGAGATAACCAGACTCCAAGATAAACCACCTGATAAAGGGTAATCGAAAGATGACCCCCTCATCCATATAAAGGGTAACCGAACGCAACGACAATATATCAAACATATCTCGTGTAGCATCATCCCACTCCAATCCTGCTGCGACCCATAGGACAGGAAGAAGTCCACGGCCACCTTAGCGAGCTGAGACGCCACGGCTTGGGAGTACCCGGCGTCCTTCAGTCTCTCTGCAAATTAGACCAATATAACAACCAATGAGCAGTTTGATAGACAATTACACTAGGATCACGCGCGTAAACGTTTACATTTCTGGCTTCCATGAAGTCCAGAAAATTGCTGCTACACACATAACCATCAGATTATTTACTTTTCTACAAAAGCTATTTATCCAGCTACTAAAATCTTCTACAGCAATAGGTATATCATTTAAACATATCACAGCTTTAATGATTCCACACATGAATTTGGCAACATTTACAGAACAAGTGATCTATGTTTTCCTCAAAATAACAAGATTCTTCTTTTGAGCAAAAGCCAAACAAACACTTCAATTTTTAGAGGAATTCTAGCTTGCCACATCTTCATGTGAGGCCACAATACCTGCTCAGTTTTTGAACTAGAGTACAGAGGCCTTATAGTAAACTTGCCGGATTTATTTAAAGTCCAAAACATTTATCCTCACTTTCTGTAAATTGGATACCTGGGCATAATGCTTTTGACTCAGCTCATATTCTCACAGCTGTAGTCCCTCCCCACAGATTCCTTCTAAATGTAATGAGACTCATATTCTCACTCAATGCTTTTGCAACAGAGAAAATGACACTGGAAGTAAGAAAATACAACCCAGGGAATATCACACAAAGAGTTTCTTCTTTTTCCTATCAAGGGATCTTCCCATAACCTAGTTTTGTTACCATTACCGATAATTTTTTTTACAATACTGGGAAATAATAGGTTTAACTTTCAGAATGCCCTGTCGGAATTGAGATTAACCAACCTTAGCTTTACAATCTCCTAAAGTAGATTTACCAATATACTTATTTCCAAGGGCTCCTTTGATTCAAAAGATTTTCAAAGGAATGAAGGATTAGAATCCTTAGGATTTTTTTCCTACGATGGTTGTTTGATTCATAGGATTGAATCCTATAGGAATTTTTCCTAAGAATTTCTTTGTACTACTTTCCATAGGATTTCTAGCATCCACTCAAACCTCTTTGAAAGAATCCTTTGTTTTTCCTATGATGCGATCAGACAACCCAAAATCCTGTAGGATTGAGATAACCATGACAATCCTATCCTCTGTTTCTCCATATTCCCGTGTTTTTAAAATCCTGTGAATCAAAGAGGCCCTAACTATGGACTGCCACATACCTAGCTCATTCTGCAACTTCCAAATTCATTTACAAAGTAAAGAAATATTCATTACACTTAAACCCACTATCCCAAGACCCCACCATATCATTAGGTCTACAAACAACTTCCCATTTTGCTGGATGGTAATTTTTTACATTATCTTCCTCTTGCCAGAACATCATTTTTCTAAAAAATATCCATCTTCTTACTAGGACCTTTAGGCAGTTCAAAAAGAGACAACATGTATAAAGGTATAATACTCAAACTACCTCTAATAAGAATTAGCCTCCCTCCATATGAAAGACCCCTACCTTTCCAAGGTGCAAAGCTTTTTACCCATTTTCTGTACAGGCACATCCCAATCTTTCTTAAATAGCCTAACTGAATTAATTGGTATACCTAAATATCTAAATGGTAAGCAACCATG